CCCCCCCCGCACAAGCCTCATGCAGTCATAGGGTTTTTTTCAGAGATGGTTGAATCTAGAGCATGTGATTGATTCATAGTGCAATGCTGGGATTCAGGGTGCTGGGATTAAGGGTGGGTGATTGCTGGGTCAGTCCACTTATTGGATTGGCACCACCCTAATCCCAGCAGTATGGATAAGATAAAAGGGGCAAAAAGAGGGCTCCTCTCTCTTTCTCCTGCCCCCTCCCCCTCCCTCTCGTTCTCTTTCTCTCTTTCTCTTTTCTGTCCTTCTCTCCCTACCCCCCTCAAACTGCTTTTGCTATCACCTGCCACCATGAACTGTTGTCTCTCTGCCATATGCCACCCTGCCTTGGCTGTACAAACTGTGAGCTACATTAACCTTTCCTCCTTTAACACTGGGTATTGGGTATTTTTTCTCAGCAACAAGAAAAGTAACTAAGACAGAATTGAACATATGATGTCCGGGCTGCCCCTATCCCCATGCTCACAAGAAACACCCTGGATCCACATTTCACCAGGCTTCCCTCTATAACTCAGTCCCCCCTGAGTTCATCTCACCTCTGAGCTCTTGAGTTCTAGGGACACCTTGCGCACAGCCCTGACCTTGCTGCTGTCGCACCTGCCCTGGCCAAGACCTGCTCTGTTCCATCCCCACCGGGGTCCTTATCTGAAAGCCATCCTGCTAGAGGAAGAGAACCATTCCCCTGCACCCTGGTGCCCACTGCCAGGCCCATACACCTAACTGGTGTGGACATCCATTGTGAAGTGTCAGTCCTCCAGTGGTCCCCAGGTACCGTGCCTTTGAGGGTATGGGTTAATTTAGTGCTCCAAGGCCCTACCCTGCACAGTGTGGGACAGGAGACAGGCAGCCATTGAGTCATCATGGCTGTCCATCTGATAGTGTTTCTCCTGTTCCAACCTGACCACAGGAACCTGAAGCAGGAAGGGAAGGGGACCAGGAGCCTCTAAGGTCACAGAGCTCTGCCCGTCCAGATGTGATACGGGTAGGCTCCCCTAGAGCCCGGTGCAGGAACTGGCACCCACCCCTCCTTGGAGCCTGTGGCAGGGTCAGGGGGGCTCAGCCTCCTCACATTGCAGTGGGGAAGCATGAGGGGATGTGACCTGTGTCACCTGCAGGCCTCCACCACTCTTTGTGGTCTGTATGGACAGAACCTATGCTGTGCTCACCTTTTCCCTAGCTGGTGGCTTTCCTGAGCCTGAGACCCAGCCACTCTGAGGAAGATGTCACCCAGTGATCCAGAGCTGGTATCTCTGTGGAGACGACGGGACTGCAGGCCCAGCCTGTATGCTTGTCCCTGTCCACAGCTAGATTGTCTCCTGTACCACGCAGTGCACTGCTCCCCTCTGTATGTGATGTGGCAGACTTCCAGGCTTACAAGAAGTAGCATTAAACACACTTTACCCACAGTTGGCTCTTCGTGAGCCGTGTCTGAGTGGTGGCAAGTTAGGTGACATAAGACAGTCTGGTGTTTGCAGTGGGTGTGTGCCGTCATCTGGGCCTTCACTCACCAGAGACAGCTGTCTTCTCCGAGTCAAGACCACTGCCTTCAGAGCTGTGAGGAGCCCAACTCTAGCCGTGCGTGCAGCTGACATGCACTCTGGGCTTCTATGAGGAAGGCAGGGATGAGGCAGGTTTCATGGTAGCTGGCTTTGGGAGTGCAGACAGGCCACAGGCAGTCTGGCTGGGCCTCCTCCTGCTTCAGCTCTTGCCCACTAGCCCAGGCCATGGTTCTCTACTTAGTGCTGGTTGATCAGGAAGCTACCTCAGGCCAGTCACTTTCATCAGAGGACAGCACACTGTCATCCCACTGGGACCACATGTCATGTGCCACTGAGGTACTTGGACAGGAAAGGCTATGGGACAGCAAGCAGCCATGGTATCGGGAGGGCCCCGAGCTCATTGGCCTCCATGTCAGATGCATGTTCCTCACTCCAGGATCCTCAGGGCCAAGTGTCCACATTGGGCAGTCCTGGCACCAGCAGCCCTCACCCAGGAGCACTCAGATGTCTCCATGGGAGGAGACCATGGGCAGCCGCCCTCTCCCACCCTTCGCCCCCTGCTGACGTGTGTCACTCTCTCAGATTTCAGAGTTCCAAGACAAGCACAGGAGGAGGCTGCTTGCCTTCTATCGAGAAAAGGTAAGAAGAACAGTCCATTGCCTCCTGGGCCATTTGTCCTCTGACCTAAAGGCCAGACTGTTATCTGACACCACACTCTTTAAGGGGCCCTGGTGTGAGACTGCTTTTCTTGGCACTGCTTTCCAGTGTGCAGTGTTGTCACGGTCTCCCCTTTGCCTGACACCTGTCTCAGTCCTGCAGAGCCTCCTGGGCTACTTCACGGTAAACCACAGAGGCTTCTATGCTCAGCCATCTACGGTTTTTGTTTTTGTGGCACTGAGCATGGAACCACCCAGAGCCCCATGGATGTTAGGCAAGTGTGTACCCCCAAGCAACACCCCAGCCCTTTTCCGAAATTTTACTTAAGAGACAGTCTCATTCAGGCAGACTTCAGACTCTGAATTGGGCCTCAGTGTCCCAAGAAGCTAGGACGACAAGCATGTGCTACTGTGCCTGAACATCTTGGATTTTTAAAATGAAAGTCCCGTTTTTAAAATTCTGATGTTTCTGGAGTAAATGAAGTAAGGACCCTGGCTTTAAAGTCACTTAGCTCTAGCCGGGGTTACATCTCAGTGGCACATCACATGCCTGGTAAGTGCAAAGTCCTGAGTTTGATTTCTGGTACCAGAAAAAAATAAAGGCACAGGGCTCTGAAGCCCCTTCCTCAGGTCCAGAGGCCACTGCCCAGCCTGCTGTTACTTCTCTGTGCATAGCTGAAGGAAGGTTCGGGTGCTCAGGTTCTGTGCACAGACCCTCCAGCCTCGAGCAGAATTCCACACCACACCCCAGCAGTGCCCCAGAACTGGGCCAGAGGATGCTTGCCTTGTGCCTAGCTTTGGCTAAGCCCTCTGCTGTGTTAACATCCTCTACCCCCAGCAAAACTAGAGGACAGGCAGCACTGACACCACCTGACAAACACCACCACAGGATGGAGAATTAAGTTACAGCCTCAAGGACTTGCAGGTCCAGGTACAGTCCCAGGCCCCGCTGTGTCACGGACTGTGCTTAGAGCACCTATATACAGTCAGGTGTCTGGTTCGAGGCTAGTATCCCCGAGCAGCACCTGGCAGGACGGAGTGTTTGGCTCTTGCCCTTGCATCAGCTCCATGCTGGGCTGGGCTATGCAGGAGCATTGAGCTATGTCCACAGGGCCTGACTCAGCTCTGCACAGATGGCCTTCGGGGCCACACTGGCTGAGGACCTGAGGAGCCGAGTTGTAAACTGTCACTCTGCACAGTCCATCTGGTGACAGAAGTCGTTTCATGTGTTTAGATCTCACAGCTGGAAGAGTCGCTCAGGAAGTCAGTGCTGCAACTGGAACGGCTACAGAGGTAAGGTCCTTGGCTGCCCCTGCTGCTAGGATGCCTGTTATAACCCAGGGAGCACAGGAAGGGGCTCTTCCAGGTGCTTGACACCTCCAGAGCAAAGGATTGCAGAAGGGAAAACAAGGAGAGGGTTTGTGCAAGCAGCAAGCCTTGACTTTACTCTCTGGTTGGGGGCAGTGGGACCAGTGGACATGGCGCCCTTTAGACTCCTCTAGAGCATGCTGTCTGTATGCCCACTGGCACAGTTTGGAACAGTTGGCTGTTCAAAGACCTCTTCTACTTCCAGTTGGGATGAAGTAGTGGGATGAGACGTTTGAGTGAAGTGCATTTTTGTCATTTAATTCGTTGTCTTTATACCTCCGTTTAGTATAAAATCGTCACAACAAACAGCTTTCCACACCATAAAGAGTTCAGTTGCAAGTGAGTAAAATAAAGCTGGAAAGGGGAAGAGTACAGAGGTGCATGCTGCTGAGTCACAGTACCCGTGCACTAATGTGAAGATGTGTTATCCTCACTCCTGCAGCAAAGGCAGATGGGCATGTATGGCTGCCACCTGACGCATCTGCCCCTGACAGGTGTGTGCGCTGCTGGGATGGTGTGAAACTTCGGGCAAGTTGTGGGGCCACAAGTCCTGTGGACATTTCCATGTTTTGCTTCCCAACCTGCCACCCCTCAATATCCCACTGACCTAGGGCCTGGATAGTTTGCTGAACTTCTGGCTCCCTTCAGTGCTCTTCTTCTTAGCTCTTGTGTAAGGCCCAAGTCCCTGGATACACTGTGATCCTGGCTGGCCAGAGCACTCTCCTTGCAGCCACAGCAGCTGGTGTGGGGATAATTATGTGACCTGGTGTTCTGACAACCCCAACTTCACTGGGGTTGTGGAGCTAGAGTGGCTAGCAGTCCTGCCCTGCTTGGATATGGAGGGGCTGCTCATGGACAGCCATGGGTGCCTGCCACAGATGCCCCATGCCTCGCTGTTGGACCTGTGATCCATGGTCCCTCAGTTAGAAACCTCATTTAAACTGGCATATGCTCAGGTGGCCTAACTTTGCCTCCCTCTATCCGGGGTAGAACCTTTTTGGGGTAAGGAACAAGGCCATGATGCCATGACACTAAGGGACCAATTCATAGAGGTTCCCAGATCTCAGTGAGAAGGGCAGCCCTCCATCCTTGAGCTTAAAGGCAGACAAATGATGGTGCCCAAAGGTCAGCGCGTTTCATGGGTCCAAGGTGCTACTCCTCTAGATCTTCCCAAGAGACTTCTCACTTTGGGCTAGAGCCAGCAGACACCGGTTCCCTGGGTCATGACCAAGACAAAGTGACTGTGTCATGACTGCACAGGTTGTAGGTCAGTGGGGCCATCAGGTAAGCTTATGTCTAGCTGTCCTGCAGGAAGCGGGTATGGGGCAGAGGTCTGGATGAACATGCTGACGAGCTGGGGAGGTAGAGCTGAACACTGCAGGGGAGTAGTCTGGCTTATATTCCACGTGGATGGGCAGCCACATAAAGTGAGTTAGGCCGATGTGGTGGTGCATGCTTGTAATCGCAGCACTCGGGAGGCTGAGGCAGGAGGATCATGGTGAGTTCGAGACCAGCCTGGGCTACAAAGTGAGTTGAAGGCCAGCCTGAACTGCATAGCGAGACCCTATCTCAAAAAGACCAAAAACATAAGAATTTCCAACACATAAGCTGGGTTGTCAGAGCTATCGCTGGGACACTACTGGAGCTGTTGGAAGAGTGGGGTCTCTGCTCTGAGGTCACCTCTGGGCTGAGGAGGACTGGGAGAAAATAAGTCCACAGGTGTTTCCCTGTCCACCTTTGGACGAACAAAGGACCAACATGGGCCCAGCACTAGCAGCATGATGTGGGGCAGGCAGTCCTTGTTAATGAAAGCAAGTGATGCTCTGCAGTAGGGGTCTGGTGCCATGGGTCCAGGAGGGAGCTTGATGGGATGGGATGGCACAGAAGGACCGAAACAGAGCCACCAGGTACTGCGCCTTGCAGGGTGGTTTGACTATGCAGAGGGACCAATAGTTTGGAGGAAGTGACTGTTGTAACAGCCACACCCTGACAGCACATGTCGGACACTCACACATGGTCTTGCTATGTGCAGTGTGCTGAACTGATGTTTTTAATTACAGTTAAGTCATCAGCTAAATTAACCCATTTCACTGTTTGACAGGGTGGAGTTGATGGAGGTTGACCTTACTCCTCCAGTAAGGAAGGTAAGTACCTCTGTGCTGCCACCGTGCTATGCCCCTGTATCACATGTCAACTGCTTAGCTGTCCTCAGTGCTCATAAACTGACCTGGTCTCTTAATAGCAGACTGACCTCTAGCAGTGCCTCTGTGCACACATGGGTTCTGAACTCAGCCCCAGAGTACCCTCAAGAACACTGTGTTGTTCTGCCTGAACAGCCAGGCCCATGGCCATGGCGAGGGTGGCTTGGCCCCATGCTGCAGAAGCCCGGGCCAGAGATAACAGAAACCCTGTCAGCCTAGGAAAAGAAGAGGATCAGACATGTGAGGACTGAAAAGGACACAGCTACAGATTAGAGTACACAAGGCCAAAGCCCAGGAGGCTCCAGATGGCCCGGTTACCTGCCCAGTCCAGGTGGAACTGGGTGTCCGGTGTGCACCTGGGCAGGACAGACACCAGGTAGCTCCAGGATGGGGCAGAGATGGCAGAGTGTGAGGTGCCTGGGCAGGGCGGGCACTCTTGACAGTGCGATCATTACCCAGGTTGTTTCTTTAAGAGCCTTCCTGGTGCTGTGATCAGCAAGCACTATTCTAAATCTCTAAATGTGCTATGTAAATCTGCTATGTAACACCTGTGCTGCCGGGAGTGCCCTCCCCATAATGGACAGAACCCAGCTTGAGAGAGATGCAGGGAGACCCCTTGGAGTGCCACCCAGAGCTGGGGTCCCACCAACTGGCCACAGAGAGCAGTGTGCACACCTGCTCTCTGCATGTGGACATCCCACGCCTCTGGGGCTGCTGGCAAGTGACTTCTTCACGGAGGCTGTGACTGTGCAGGAGACCAGAGCAGATGGATGTTTTCTGTAAGGAGAAGCCATGACTCAGACATGAAGCAAACTTTAGTCATAGGAAGAGGAACCAATACACGTGAACACTGGTGGAGGCGAGTCAGTGCACACGCTGGTCAGGGAGGCAGGAGCCCTTTGCAAGGGCTTTCATGCCTTACTGGGCCCATTGCAAGGGCTTTCATGCCTTACTGCTGATAGCAAAATGTTGTGGGCCTTTCCAGAGCATATGTTCCTGGCAGGAAGCCTCCAATGAGCAAGCCAGGGCTAGAGGGGAGAAGATAGTGTGTTGACTGTCCCATGAGCTGAGCCCACCTGCTGTCCTGGCTCCAGCCCAGCAGGTGTCTGGTGGAGTGTGGCCTCCCTTGGGGCTCCCTCTGCCCCTGTCCTCAGCCCCCCAGCCCTGCTTCCTCTCCATGAGCTCCTCCCTGTACCCATCCTATAGCAAACAGCACAAGACCTCTTGTTCCCCTCTACTCTGAAGTGGGAACCATCATAACAGGTAGCCCAACTCCAGGGCCTATGGCCTTATCCCGCAGAGCTTACTGAAGGGGCAGAGCTGTGAGCAGTGTCTTCGGCCTGTCCTGTGTCACCAGCAGCCTGCACAGGTTTCCCCCTTGTTGTGGAGACATGTGGGAGATGCCTGTGAGAAGAGAGGATTTGGAAAAGCTGCTGTGCCTCCCCCTGGAGGTCGGCACTGTCAAAGGGCTGAGTAGCACTGTGCTTCCTGGCGATACCAGCTTCCCCTGAGAGCCTCCTTGCCCTCGAGGTCCCACCCTGGCCTCTGCCACTGTGGCCCCTGCCTGACCAGCAGAGCAGAGTGATCACAGAAACCTAGGCACAGCCAAGTGTGGCTGCCAGTGTCCCAGATCAAGGTGGCAGCTCCCGCAGCAGCACAGGAGTGGAACATTGGATTCTAGAAGCCCAGACTAGAGATGAGGGCCAGAACTAAATGGCCCCTCCCCAAGTACCTGCGTTGGCCTCTGCCACAGTGAGCCCCACAGCCCCTCACCGTACTACCTCTGTGTGGCCTGTCAGCCTCTTCGAACTGATGCTACAGCTATTACCAGGTTCTCCCCCAGATGGGGCTCAAGCACCGAACCACAAACATGAGCCTTTCTGAGCGCAAGAAAAGGTGCTTACCTCACCCCCATCCCAGCTCTTTTCTGTGAACTTCCGTAATCTGCTGGAGGGTTGATTTTCATGGGGACTGTGCCCACCTGGCTATGGCTGTGGAGCAGCTGAAGGGACCACTGGGCGGTGAACTGTGGACTTCACATGGGTCACCATCCAGTCCCAGACCTATTGGAGACACCAGGGCACACTACAGACTCAGACTTCTGACCCTCGGGCTTGGGAGGCAGCCACAGATAGGGGCTGCAGAGAGGTCAGCTCTGAGTGGAGGAGGGGGTGGCGGGCTTCTCCAGGAGAGCTGTGTTAAAGGCACTACAGACCCTGGGAAAGACCCAGAGTCCCTGGAATACACTCACTTCTGACAAGTGGGAGGATCACCCAGACCCACCCAAGCAGGGGCATCCTGTGTGTCCTCAGGTGCCACAGAGCCTCTGGTACAGGAAGGAACCCTTCTCTTCCCAGCTGTATCTGCATCAGCTGCCTGGGCTGGCGCTCTGGTGTAGGCCGGTCCCTTCACAGTCAGTGTGCAGGACCAGCCGGGCAGCATCCAGGGCCACACTGAGCCTGCAAGGACACATGTGGGACTCGGTAGTCTCTCAGTGGTCCCTGGGAGAAAACAGCGAGAGGATTTAGAAAATAAAGAAAAGATACCATAGCTGAGGCCAGGGGGAGTAACCTCTTGCCTGATGAGCAAGAGTACTGCCCCAAAACAGTAGAGCATTTATTTATACCCTTGAGAGGTTGGTTAACCTTTTGTCTTGCTGGGTAGCAACCAGTTAACAAGTTACAAAGGCTTGTTTACTCCCAGGGGCTTGTGTACTCTGAGGAGCTCCCCTGTTCTCAGGCTGGCTTCATCCGGCACGCGTAATTATTTTCCAGCTTAAGCAGCTCCTAACAGACACAGAGTCCCAGGGTGGAAGTGCCTACAGGTCCAGAGTCTGGCAACCAGGGAAGGTAGAACCAAGGACTTGGCAGGCAGATGTGGTGATAGCAGGGCTAGGCCTGATGGAAGGTGAGAGGCCAGGCCAAGAGTCCAGCTGTGGGCAGGGGCTAATGAGTGACCAGCAGAGACTGCGACTGTCAGACACCACAGTTCACGCAGGATGGGGTCTCACAGCCGTGGTCAGTTCGCAGGGACAGTGACAACCTTGCCTCACAGTGTTGGGTCAGGAGAAGAGGGTGCGGGGGACCAGCACAGTCTGCTCCACCAGGAGGAGTCAGGCTGGTATGTTTCCTTCCTCTCCTAAAATCCTTAAAACACTTGGTGGTCCCTACATCCATTCTCTGTCTCAGGACCTGGTGTAATGGGAGGAATTGGGAATCCCGCCCCACGTGGGCCAGGGGGCTTGTGTCCATGTGGAGCCAGGTTAGATAGGAGGCTGCTGGGGTGAAGAGGCCTAAGGCAGAGGAGCTCACAGAATGGGTGCTTAGTGAACAGGGGATTCTGACCCAACAAGGGACAGAGTGAAAATCTCACCAGCTGTTTTCTCTTATGTGCTTAGCCTGAGGTCACAGTGGGCCCTGTGAGAATCTCTGTGATTAGTCCACCTCAGGATGGACGGATGGGTAAGTAGTGTTCCTGTAACCTCACCCAGGTCCCTGCAGGGGTGTGCATGTGTTCTTTCAAAGCTGAGATAATCAGAGCTGTCAGAACTCACCCAGGAAGGCTGAACTGCCCCTAACACCAGGCTATGCAGGACAAAACTCATGGGAGACAGGAGCTCTTGTAGTTTTAATCCAAAGTTGTGTGGCTGGGTTTGCCTGCTGGTATTCCAGTTGAGTCAGTAACCCCTTTCCCAGCAGGCCCAGGCTTGGTGATCCCTCCCGTGGGGCTCCCCACTGCCTCTGTCCTCAGCCCCCCATTTCTGGTTCCTCTCCCCAAGCTCTCCACTATACCCATCGTCCTCAGGAGCACGAGACCTCCTGTTCCCCCCGACACATACTCTGAAGTGGAAACCCTCATAACAGGGAGCCCAACTCCAGGGCCTGTGGCATTATCACAAAGAGCTTGCTGAAGTGGCAGAGCTCTGAGCAGGGTCCTCTGCCTGCCCTGTGTCCCTGGCAGCCTGCGCAGGTTTCCTCCCCTACACCGGGTTCCCATGGGACCACTTCATGGGGACTCTCTAGTCCCTCCCAGGCTCCCAGGGACTGGCCATGCCCAGGTCACCCCCCTGGAGCTGTCCACAGATGTCTCCGCCAGACTCTCCCTGGAGGTTCAGTGTGTGCTGGGAAGCTGTGCAGGAGCCTTGGCTTGCACTGGCTCAACCCCTCAGCAGTGTCCACTCTGTCTATGACTTTGTCAGCTTGGAAGGTAAACATTTTGGTTTTCATACCTGTGACTGCTGATGATCCTGAGTGTTTTAGTTCTATTCTTTTCTTACTCTTTCTCTGACTTACCTATATTTGTTCTTTGTATATATGACATCCTTAATATGAAAGATATTGACCTTTTATCCAGTTTGCTTTGTTATTCTGTATTTGATTTTTAGAAATTTAACATTTTTAGTCAGGCGTTGTGGTGCACACTTATAATCTCAGCCCTCAAAGAACTGAACCAGGAGGATTGCCAGAGTCCAAGGCCAGCCTGGGATACATAGGCAATTCAAGACCAGCCTGAACTACATAGCAAGACCCAGTCTCAAAACACTAAAAAAAAAAAATTTTAATAGAAATTCAAGATTTTTAGCCAGGTGTAATGGCACATGCCTGGAATCCCACTCTAGGAGGCTAAAGCATAAGGATCATAAATTTGAGACCAGTCTGGACAACTAAGTGACTTAGCAAGGCCCTGTCTCTAAGATAAAAAAGGACTGGAGATGTAGCTCAGTACAAAGGCCCTAGGTTCACTCCCCAGTACCCCAGAAAAAAAAAAAACAATAAGAAACTTAATGTTTTTGTGTACTCAAACCTACTGTTACTGTCCGTCTTATTTCAAGGGTTTTTTGTGCTTAGGTAGGTTTTATTTGCATAACTAAATCATCTCTCCTGATTGGTTTTTATAGACTTCATTTTTTACAGCACTTTTGCATTCACAGCAAAACTGAGGTGAAAGTACAAAGCTTTCCCACATACCTCCTGCCCCCAGTGTTATAGCCTCCCATCAGCAGGCCTCCCACAGGGTGGAGCTTTGCTGCAGCAGATGAAGCTGTGTCCGTACCACATTATCCCCAAGTCTGCCACTATATTTGTGCCCGCTGACACCATGCGTGTTATGAGCCACCACAGCATCATGGAAGATGTTCACTGCCCTGAGAGCCCTCTGTGCTCCACCCCTCGTCCCTCTTCCCCCAGAAACACTGGCCTTTCTGCTGTCTCCAGAGTTGCCTTTTCCAGAAGGTCTCCCTGCTGCACACATGCAAACACAAGCCTCTTCAATGGGCTTTTCCCCATAGCAGCACACATTTATGGTTTCTCCACATCTTTTCATGGCTTTTAGCTCATTTCTTTCTGGTGTTGGACACTAATATTTCATCATCTGGGTGCACCATACTTCGTTCATTCACCTGCTGAAGGGCATCTTTGGTGGCTTCCAACTTTCAGCAATTATGAAATAAAAACTGCTGTAGATATCCACTGCGGATTGCATGTGGCCACAACCTTCAAGTCCTGTGGGTGAATATCAAGGAGCACAGTTACTGCTGGACACTGTGGGGAGAGCAGGTTTGGTTTGGGAAGAAACTGCCACACTGTCTGACATAGTGCTGCGCCATCTTGCATTCTTATAGCTTGGAGTGGCTCTTGGAGCTCTGCATCCTTGCCAGGGCCTCAGAGATACAAAGCAGAAAATGTACAGATTAAAAGGAAAAAAGCAGTTTTGTTTTGAGATTTCCATGCTGTTTTTTAAAGAGATTAATAGAACAGAAAAAAAAGTTGTAAAAGGAAGTGGGAACAAAAATATTTGAGATGTACATAAAACAACAAAGTGGCAGACACAAGTCTAGCTATATCGATAATAGCACTTAATAGAATAAATTAAAGGCTACAGTTAACAAGCATCGATTGTCAAACTGGTATAAAAGAAAGATCCAGCAGGGTGCTGTCTGTAGGAAGTAACGCTTTCCCAAAGGCAGAACAGGTCGAAGGAAATTCATGAAACAGACACATGAAGCAAATGGCAGTCAGAGTGCTGGAGCGGCTGTCATTCGTGTCAGGCTCAAAAGGTTTCAAGATAAAACTTACTGCTAGAGACAGACATTTCATGATAGCAAAAGGATCAGTGTATTAGAGGTATATAAGCAAGTGTTTGCTTATATACCAATATAAGTGTTTGCTTATATACAAAGAAGAGAGCCCCAAAATAAACGCAACAACTGATGAAATTAAAAAATAGTTAATTCAGCAATCAGGATTTGAGTATGGAACAACTAGACAGATAATTACTAAGAAAATAGGAGACTTGACCAGTACTCTTGACCACATTTACTTACGTGATAAATAGAGACAACACCCAACAAGAGCAGAATAACACTCTCTTCGGGTGCACATGAGATATTCTTTAGAACAGACTGGATATTAGGACCTAAAAAACTCCCAGCACATCAAAAAGGATTAAGATCATATAAAGTGTATTCCCTGACCACAATGAGATTAAATTGGAAATGAACAACAGAAAAAAGTCTGAGAATAAAACAAATATCACAATGCAAACTAATCCATGAGTCAAAGAAAAAAATCAAGAGACTTCAGAAAATAAGTTGAACTGAATGAAAATACATGTCAAGTTTATGTGCTGCAAGCAAAGCCATGTTTATAGTATTAAACGCTCTTTTGAAAATGGTAAGGGGACCAAAAAATGGAGGGAGGGTAGAGGAAGGAGCCATAAAAAGAATTAAGACATGTTAAGTACATGCACCAACCCCCATGAAGAATGTAATCATGTAAATGCAAAAGTACTAATAAAAATATTTAAATAGAGTAAGGTAAAAAAAATAGAATAGAAAGGACAGTCTGAACTCAGTAAGCTTAAGCTACCAAGCAAATAGAACCAGTAGAGATGATTAATGGAACCTAAGGTTGGTTCTTTGATGAAATTATCAAAATTGACTCAAGAAGAAATAATAAATCTAAACACCTATCAAGTGAAGTTACATTGGTAATTTTTCAGGGGAAAAAAAAGCCAATTTCCCAATGATTTCATGGGTCAGTTCTTTCAAATATTTAAGGAAAAACCAATCCCAGTCCAAATGAACTTGGAAAATAGATCAGACATTTGTCAGTTCCTTTTATGGGGTCAGGAATAACCCTGTGACAAAGCTGAAGAAAACCTGCACGAGTACTCTTCATGAGTATAAATGCAGGATTCTTTAAAAATACATTTGAGGGCCGGGGGTTTAGCTCAGTGGTACAAGTGCCTGCCTGGCAAGCACAAGGTCCTGAGTTTGATTCCTGGTACCAAAAGAAGTAAAAACATAAAAATGCATTTGACAACCAAATCTAATAACATAGAAAGGTGTTTTATGCCATTCCCAGGTGGGGTTCATCTAAGGAATTCGTGTTAATCTGGCATCAGAAGGTCAGTTAACATCATAAACTGTGTTAGAATAAAGGACAAAAAAATCTTAAAATCTTTTCAATAATGAAAGAATTGCCAAACTCTACAATTGTTCATGGTAGAAAGTGTCAACAAAAATGAAGTGGATGAGAATTCCCTCAACTTGATAGAGGGTATCTTTAGAAAACCTATAGGCCAACATCATAATGTTGGAAGTTTTTTGCTTGTTTTTGCAGTACTGGAAATTAAACCATGGCCTTATGCATGCTAGGCACATGGCCTACCACTGAGCTATATCTCCACCCCTTTTTAAATTTTATTTTGAAATAGGGTCAAAGTTGTCCAGGCTGGTCTTGAACTTGGAATCCTCCTACCTCAGTCTCTGGAATAGCTGGGATTAGAGGTGTGCACCAGCATATCCAGCAGTGTTCAAAGGCAGGATATTTTTTCCTCTAATGTCAGGAACAAAGGACAGATGTCTACTTCTGCCACATCTGTATGAATTGTAGTGAGGTTCTAGCTAGTGCAATGAGGCAAGAAAAAGAAATCAAAGACATAAAAGCTGGGCATGATCACAGGCCTGTGATCTCACCTCCTCAGGCGACTGAGGCAGGGGGGTCATGAGTTTAAGGTGTGTGATGAAACTGGGTCTCACAAACAAAACAAAACAAAGCAGTGAAAAGAAAAAAGAAAGGCATATGAGTTTTAAAATGTCACTATCTTTATTGGTGATGATATGATCTATGTAGAACATCATGAAGAAATCTACATGAATACCACAAGTAGCAAGGTGGCAAGGCCACAACAACAATATACAGAAATTAGCTTTATTTCTGTATGTTAACAATCTGACATTGGAATTAGTTGGTCATAACTGAAGGGTTTCCTGTTTTTTCATAAATACCGTACTGTCACAATTTTTTTATTTTACAATATATTTTGAAATCAGGTGGTATAAACCCTATTAACTTTGTTCTTAATTATAAAATTTGCCTGTGTTAAGTCCATATGATTTTTCCATATTTATGCACATAGTCTATTTAATACATTTCCATATAATTTTTAAAATCCTTTTGTCAGATCCTACAAAGCTTGCTGGGAGTTTGATAGGAATGACTCTGAGTTTGTGGACCAGTTTGGGAAGAATGACCATCTTTACAGTTTGGAATCCTTCATGTGTATGCTGAATCTCTCTCTTCACTCACTGTATCTTTAGTTTCTCTCAAGAATCTTTTGTAGTTTTCAGTGTGCAGGTCTTTTACTTTATTGATAAATTTATATCTAAGTACAGTAAAGCCTTGGTTTGCGAGCATAATTCATTTGGGAAACATGCTTGTAATCCAAAGCACTTGTATATCACAGTGAATTTCTACATGAGAAATAATGGAAACTCAGATGATTCATTCCATAACCCAAAACTATTCATATAAAAATGAGTACAATACTGTAATACAAAATAATTTTAAAATACAAAATATAAAGAAAAATTAACCTGCTCTTCTCTTTGAAAACCTTCATGGCTGGTATGAGGGAGACAAGAGAAAGGAGGGCTATTGTGTAGGACAACTTTCACTATCATTAATGGAATCACTGCTATCGATTGGTTGGCTCAAAGGAATCTTTTTCTTTCCTACAACTTCAACAAGGAATCTGTCCAATGACAGTTGCTTTTGCCTCCATTTGAGGACTTTGTGGAAGTGTGACATTGCATGATTGTTAAACAGATTCATCACTTGCACTGCCACAGCCTTATTCAGGTGTTGCTTTTCTATAAAATTTCGTACTGTTTCCCATATTTTACACATCTCTCTAATCTCATTTGAAGTGAGGGATTCCTCCACCTTTTTCTCCTCCTCCTCTTCTGCAGGAGAAATCTTTCTGAAATTCCTTTCATAATGTCACTTTCCTGAAGGTGTCCTGGGCAGAGTATCACCCTGATCCACCTATGTTCCACTGATCCCAAAGACACTGCTCTCCCTGGTGCCCTGGCCCCTGCAGTACCCACTGTCCTTCCAAGTGCCATCAGACTGAGGGTACTTCCTGTGGGATACAGCAGGCTGTGGGCCACACTTTGGCCTCAGTACAACCAGTGCCTCTGCTGATGACAGTTTTGCCACAGGGCAGCATGAGCGAGGTAAAGAGCCATCTGTGGTCTCCACACTGGGTACTTTACTCTGAGCAGGGGCACCTGCCATCATGACTGTTCATGGCTCTGTGCATTGAAACACACCAGCATTGTTTAATCAAAATGGTGAGGGCACCTCAAAAGAAGAGGTTTCACCACAACTCCAGGGCAGGAGGCCAGGTGCCACAGAAGCCACTGGGGCAGCTTGCTGTCAGGAGGCAAGCAGAGCCTTCCTGTGGTTGCCTGGAGTGTCTGGGCAAGGAGGCTGTTCCAGGTGGCCACTGGCACTGGCAACTTGATTGCTTTGCGGGCTCTAGGGTGTGGCTGACCTGGGTGGTCAGGACCAGAGCCTGGCTTGCTGGGTCTTATGTCAGGCGAATGCACAGGCAAGCTGGACCCAAGTCCCAAGGGGTTTCCTGGGAAGGCAATGCTTTCAGGCCAGCAAGGCTCCAGTGTCTGACCACAGGGAAACAGGGTGAAGACAGGGTGGACACAGCCTGCTACACAGCTCTGCCTCCAGGTCCGCTAGCCATCTGGCAGGGTCTTCAGAGGGCATTGTGCTCTCTTGGTCCAGGAGGCAGAGTTAAACCCAACTGTTGTAGTTACCTGTGACGCCCAGAACATGGGCCAGCTGCCTGGGCACAGTGCTCAGACACTGGGGGCCAGGTTAGGGGCCCCTGCTAGGGTGGCCTTGGGGCAGTCACCACGTTGCCTTCCTTGTCACCCAACTGGTCAGACCCGTGCAGACCTGTGCCTTTCTCCATCTTTCTGTGACCTGTGTGTGCAGGATGTGTCGTGGGGTGTGCTGTGTGGCCTCTTGACTGAGCTAAGGGCCAGGGAGCAGGCATTGCAGCCCAGCAGTTCCATTTCCCTGGTGCCAAGCTGCTGTGTTTTCTTGTTGTTGTTCTTTTGGTTTTTGAGACAGGGTCTCATTATGTGTTCAAGGCCTCCCGAGTGCTGGGATTACTGATGTGTACCACTACACCTGGCCAAATTGCAGAGTTGTCTCAGTGGTTCACATGGTCTCTGTGTTATGAAGGTGTAGAGAGGTGGGAAGATTAGAACATAAGGCATTAGGTTACCTTCCGGGGCCAGCCGCTGCAGAGTTGGGAGAAGCCACTCCGTGGGTCGTCAGCCTCAGGACGCAGGGCAGCAGCCATGTCTGTCTTCTCCTGGAGGACTGTGACACCCTCACTGACACTGTCATTCCCTTCACAGGCAGTGTCTCCTACTTGGGCCCTCAGCATCCAGCCCTGACACCCAGCCCAACGCCCAGCCAGACGAGCGTGTCGAAGGCTCTCAGGTAGTGTCCCCGGAGGGTATTTTTTTCAGTGTGTGGATGGGAAACAGAGATGAACTCTCCTGGCCTGACCACAAGAACCAGGACTGCTGAGTCTGCTTCACTCCAATTTTGTGTCAGGCTCTGTGTGCAGGCGTAATGTTTTGCATTTTTGAAGCTGTGCTGAACCTTAGGTGTTTGCCCTGTTCTTAACCCCTCCCCAAACACCATGTAATGACTGCACAAGATTTCCTCACAGGGACAAACTGGGGTTATGTTTCCTGCAAAGCTCTGGACGTCACTGTCTCCTCTCCTCTCTGCCTCCAGGCCTTGTGGAGGTGCGTCCAGTAAGTCTTTATGCACAGAAGCTGGGCTGGCCCATGTAGGGGAGCTCAGGGGTTGAGTGTGCCTGCCATGCCTGAGGTCCCCAGTGCCCTCTCCACACTGCAGAAAGGGAGAAAGGAGGAGGAAATGGTGGCCAGCTGGGTAAGGCCCTGAGACCAGAGCTCACTCACTGGGCAGTGCCCTCCTCTTGGGCGAGTAGGCGCCCACACTTGGTCTGAGCATTGAGGGCCAGTGGTCTGTACAGAAGGTGGATCCTGCGAGCCCCTTCCCTGCCAGGCAATTTCTGAGCTCTGCTGCCTGCTGACCTACAGCTTGTCCTGCCTCACCTGTGCCTGCCCAACTCCTGGAGCTCATGGCTTTCCACACCATCTGCTGGCAGACTACTGTGACGAGCTGCTTTTGCTCCCCAGGGACACAGCTTCCCCTTCCTCAGTGCCTGCTGCCCAGCGTCGTCACTCCCATCTAATTCACTGTCCTTTTTTTATTTTTAAATTTTGAGATAGAGTCTAGGTAAGTTACCCAGCAAGACCCAAACTCACAATCGTCCTGCCTCAGCCCATTTCAGGGCTAGAATTAGCAGTTGTGGGCCACCATGCCCGGCTTCTCTGCCGAGTTCTGTTGTGTGGTTTGTTTTTTGTTTTTTTGTTTTTTTTGGTACCAGGAATCAAACTCAGGACCTTGTGCTTGCCAGGCTTCTGCCCAGTTCTGTGGTGGTGTGTGCCACATCCCTGTTGTCTGTCCCTCTCTGGCCCGGGGCAGGCAGAGTGGGCCTGGACCAGCAGAGACGCACTAGCGGCATGTGGGTACTGAGTGTGTCTGAATTGAGTGTGGAGGATGACACAGTGCCATTGCCTTGAAGAGGAGGTTGCTGCTCAAGGTTTTGAGGAGGAAGGAGCCTCAGGAGACAGAAGGAGCAGGCAGCGTGGGCATAACCCTATATGCGTGCTCTGGGCAGGCTGGGGTGGCACTTGTTGTGTGTGAGTTACATAAAGGAGGGGTGGGGCACAGGCTCTGAGCTGTGGACTCAGCGGAGAAAGGCCTGTCCAGGGCAGGCTGTCTGCTGACTCCAGGACTTCGCTGCACTGTGGCTGTCAGCCTGGGCATGGCATGGGCCTTGCTGGTCCTGTGTACTGAGTGTGCTTTTGATTCTGCCTGGGTGATTATCATCAGAGATGTGTGTTGCATCTGTGACTCTGTTGAATTCATTACCAGGGTTCCACCACTGCAGGTCCACTACAAGCTTCCATCACCAGCTCCATTGTCCCAGCTGCCTGGCAGAGCAGGTAGAGGGGGCTCCCTGGGCCCTGGGAGCGTCCAGGATGAGCCCCGGCCACCCATCAGCATCCCGGGGCTGCTGCAGAGGCAGAGCGCAGGCAGGTGCCCACCAGTGGCGGGAAGACTTGGAGGAGGTGCCCACGAGCGAGCTCTGGGGAGATGAGTGCCACAGGCGGTCGGGGGGAGTGGGGTACAGGACTTTGCAGGGTTGTTCAAAAGTGCAGTAGTAGCCCATTCTTGTCTTCACTGTGGACTTTTAAATGAGGACTCAGATGCACCAGTCCTACATGGGAAGGTCATGTGACATCTGAAATTTTGAAAACATGTATTTAAAGAAGGAATCCCAGCACGTTTCTTACGTGATATCTACACTCTCCTGTCCATCCTTCCAAGGTTAACGCCTTTCGCTGCCACCCGCGTCTCCCGCAGGGCCTGCTCCGTTCTGGACACCAGCGCGGGAGAGATAAGCAGTCCCTGCGCTGCACCTCCCATTGGGTCTGTCTCTGCTCCTCCCTGGGGCTCTGCTCTTATGGGAAGAAGGAGGCTGTGGGCCCCGGCTGAGATGGTTAAGCAGTGTAACTGAATAAAGCATTCTGGTTGTCATTCTGACCACCTGTCTGTGGTCTGTTGCAGCACTCAGACCTTCCTAGGGCCATGAGCAGCATGCACAGAGGGAGCGTCTCCATCCCCAGGAAAGCTGCAGTTCCACACTGCCCTGCTGCCTCCTGTGCAGTGTTGTTGCTCACATGCCTCTGTTCCCACAGTGCCATGCTGGCCTGGGATGTAAGACCATGGCCAGGCCTCCCTGCAGGAGTGCTCACAGTCCAGGGGCAGCCACAGGGCACACCCACCAGGGCTGAGAAGGAGGTGTAGGGGCTAGCACTATGCCTTTATTCTGCATTTGCCTACAAACTGTCAAAGGGCTTTTCTGCTCCACTGCAGCCATGTGACACAGGCTCTGCAGACTGGCCAGTGCCAGCATGCCTGGGTTACGCTGGCCTCCAGGGCGTCTCCCCTTGGCCATGAGACTCCATTGCCTGGGCTACAGGACGAGGGAGCCCCAGGTATGCTGTCCTTTGGGAAGGCACTCAGGTTTACCTCCTCCAGAACTGTGTGCCGGTTAGCTGTTCACAAATCCCATAATAACATACATGTTCTGCTGGGCCTGTTCCCCACCATGTCTAAGTATTATCCCTAATTCTGACATGTTTTCCCTAATACTGAATATATGATTATTTCAACATGGGAGGGGCTGGGGATTTAGCTCAGCGGCAAAGCGCCTGCCTGGCAAGCGCAAGGTCGTGAGTTCGGTTCCCGGTACCGGAGAAAAACCAAAAGAAAAAAAAAAGATTATTTCAACATGGGAGTATAGGCTAAGTGTGAAATATAAACAGTACAAATACCTTGGATCCCCCAGCCTGTCCCAGGCCTGCCCCCCCATGGAGTACAGGAGGACTTGCTGGGGGCCAGCCTGTGCCTGTGGCATTTCCCAGGGGCTCCCATGAGAAGCCCTTCACACTGGGTGCAGGCCGTTGGCCACCTTCTCCTCTGCCTCCCTCTGCTTAGAAGGGGGCTGGTCCCAGCACTGGTTGTTGATCTGTTCTTCCACTGCTTCACATTGCTTTCTAGACAAAAACCTCAGTGCTGTGTTCTTAGGCTGTGGTGCTCTGTGTTTCTTGCTATTCTCCATCAAGCTGTGGTCAGCTATTCAGGTACACAGGCGCCTGGGGGAGTGGAAATGTTCTGTGCAGTTAGTGCTTTCATGGCTTGTCTCAAATGTTAGCATACCCTGTCCTTTCCGTAGCTTCCCTGGAAAGGAAGAATTCCATGTAACGTGTGGGCAGTGTTCAAACCCTGTCCGGCACAAAGCCAACAATACAGCCAAGGCCCGGCTCCTGGCTATTGGCAGGACACAGAACATGAGCTGTGCAGAGACAGCCTGGACTCTAGGTGGCTGGGGCAGCACGGGCAGTAGAGGGGCAGGACCCGTCCTGGCCAGGAGAGATGGCACCTTTGCCTGTGGTGTCTCAGTCTACCACACAGTGTGGTCATACGCCAGCCATCCAGTGCCCACTGCCTGGGCCTTTTCATCCTTACAGTCATGTGCAGCACAGGTCATGACAGCCGCAGGCTCACCCCCCGAGCATCCGTCCCCTCTGCCAGCACAGGCAGCCCCGCTGTGATAGCCAGCACGGCTGCCAACAGGAACGTTGAAGGCAGGCCTTTGACAACGTTTTTTCACTGTGACTTTTCTGTCCTTGCTGAGCTTCTGAGTTTGAGTAGCAAATTCTTGTTCAAGAAGGGACCCAGCCAGGAAAAGCGAAATCAGGGTTTGAACACTGCCCACACGTTACATGGAATTCTTCCTTTCCAGGGAAGCTACAGAAAGGACAGGGTATGCTAACATTTGAGACAAGCCATGGAAGCACCAACTGCACAGAACAGATTTCAGAAATCAGAACTGAAATCAGAACTGATTTCACTATCAGTGAAATCCCAAATTTCACCGATAGTGGAGTTAGAATCAAGAATTAACAGAATGCTGTCTGGGAAATAATATAATTCTTGCCCCGGCTGAGCAAGCCATTTCCTTCAGGAAGTTTGCTGCTAACAATGCTGCTGTTTGCAAATAGAGTGGCAAAATGATCATTTTAAGTGCAGTGATAAAGTTTAATTTCATAGCTGCTTGATGAACAGCTAAACCTTTCCGTTTAACACCGAGGTCTGGAATCCTGGTTTGTGTCGTTTACATGGGCCCCATCCTGGCAGGAGGGGACTTGGCGTTGCCAGGCTGAGCCCTGGCTGGTGCCCTGGAGGGCGAGGCACCAGCTTCCTCTCCGTATCCTTATGGAGCCGTCTATTCAGTTCTGCTGTGTGCAAGCTGCAACACTGGGCTGTGAGGTCAGTCTCAGGGCTCCAGGGGCATTTGGCCAGCACTGAGACTCCAGGGGGAGCATGTCCCAGGCAGAGCAACCTCTGCAGGGCACCAGCACCGGGGGCACACATCAGCAGCAGGAATCCACGTGCCTCAGCTGCCCTCGAACGGGGTCCAAGGGCAGATGCAGTGGGACCCTGCAGGCTGCCCAAGGGGCAGCCTCCCGTTTTGATTTTCATAGTGGGCCCACCCCTACTGTTTATACCTCATCCCTCATCCACTAAGTGTGGTGCAGCCCACAGGGGCTCAGGGAATGTGGGACTCCTTGTCTACCAGCTGGTTCCTGTTTAATACCTCGTTTTCAGTGCCAGATTGCATCTGTGCAAGTTGTGTGGCTGAGGGAGGCAATCAATTCCGGCCTCCAGCACCCGGCCTAGACCTGGGGGGTAAGTGTAGTGCAGGTGTCCCCATGCCCCACCCAGGCCTTGGGAGGGCTGAGCAGCAGGCAGCACTATTAAGAGCTGTGCCAGGAAAGTTAGCTTTGAGGGATGCCATCAGGGATTCCAACACAAGGGTTGCTGGGCAGACTGGCCTAGGTGGAGTACAGGTGTGGAGGGTGGAGGAGACCATCATACAGCACAGAAGGGTACACAGTGCATGGCCCAGGGCAGTGCCTAGCCGTGCCTGGCTTGTGCAACGTGGACCTCTTCCCCATGGGAGGTGCTGCTCACACAGGAGCCTGAAAGGGTCTGGGCCACCAGACACCTGGCTAGCAAGGGGGCTTTGCTCTTCCCTTTAGGGACTGGTTTTAGTCTAATTTTGTTCAGGATTGCGTGGCATATGCAGGTGTTCTAGTTGAGTCTGTCACCACGAAGTCTCCAAGAGCTCCAGCCTGCACCCGGGTCCTCCTCCTGCACCTGGGACTGCATGGGGTTCTCCACACCCAGTGCTTCCACGACTAACACAAGCGGTGCCTTTCAAATGCCTTGTCTCAGGAGAAGGTCATGCACCCTGCAAGGACTGGTCCCCACCACACGCAACAACAGTGGAGTCCACCTGTGTATAGCACAGACCCCGCTGCGTCCAGGGCAGCAGCCCCTCCTGGAGGCTCTCTGGCCACAGACTGTCTAGATGTTGGTCCCACCCCACTTCCTCTGCCCTTTCTTACCTCCTCATCTTTGTCCCGAGGCTGGGCCTTGCTGGAAGAATGCCAACCCTTTTCACAGAGCCTGTGGGCCTCCACATCGGGTGCCCTGTCCCAGTCCTCCCTCACATGGCCCTGTCCAGCGGCCATCACCCGCCAGGCGCTCTCCCCACCGCTGTCTTGGCTTCCAGCTCTCTGAGTAGAAACTGCCTGCCATCTGGCAGAAATTTCATTTTCAGCTTTAAATTTTCCATGAAGAGTGTAAAGTGAGGTATTAATTTACAGTTGCTAACTGTGCTTTTCAGAAGTGAAAGCACAGGCAGCTAAGCATATTTTCCCCCAGCACACAGAGCGGACCATTGACAGCAGCCGGCCACTGGGGCGACATGGCGATTAACCTAACGGGATTGGCACCGAGGACCTGGCCCCTTCCCCGTATCCCCATGTCCCTGTGTCTGGGCAGGGCTGCCCTGCCTGGGTCTGACATCAGGGACAGAAGCAGGAGGAAGGCCTGAGAGGAGAGGTGCAGGACACAGGGACCCCACAGCAGCCCACTGCAGCCCCCACGGTGCATTTTGTTGGAAACATTCCAGAAAATCCCAGAACCCCAGGAGGCTCTGGAGATGGGTCCAGAAACCATCTGCCACCTGAGGGCCCTTTGGGCAAGTGTTCCCTGGGCCGGCCACCCACAAGGAGCACGCTGGCACCACCCACCTGGACCCCTGAAAGGCTGAGCCTTCCCTCAAGGACCTTCACAGCCCTGTGGCACCACGGCCGCTCCAGACAGGACAGAAATTCCTTCAAACCTGAGCAACTGTAAATATGAAGAGAGGTTTTGAACAAGTTTTCTTTTCAGACTAAGAGGAAATTCCTAAAATTCTTAGGTGGTAAATCCAGGCCTTCCCTCCAGCT